TGTGCATGTGCCAGAGGGACCAAGCATCTTCCTCTTGCTCACACCTTATTTTCTGAGGCAGGTGAAAACTAAGCCTGGAACTTGTCAGTTTGGCTAGACTGGCTATCTGGCAAAGCTACAGGTAGATCTTCGTCTCAACTCCCACCCCCCAGCTGGGATTACAGGTGTGTGCCACATGCCCATCCTTTCTTCATGGGTGTTAGGGGATTGAACTCGGGTCCTCATGCTTGCTCAGTGGGCAGTTTTCTGACTGAATTATCTCCCCAGTCCTATACATATTTCTTTTAAAGAAAAAGAAAAGAAAGAAATGGAGGGTTCAGTAATTTTTTCCTTAAAGTATGTAGTGTTTGGGCTGGAGATATGGTTCAGTGGTTAAAAGCACTTACTGTTCTTAAGGGCATCTGAGCTTGGTTCTCATCGTCCACATGGGTAACCCACAACCACCAGTAACTCCAGCTCCAGAGACCCCGACACTTTCTTCTAGCTTCCATAGGCACCCACCTCTCTCTCTCTCTCTCTCTCTCTCTCTCTCTCTCTCTCTCTCTTTCTTTCTCTCTCTCTCTCTCTCTCACACACACACACACACACACACACCACATGCATGCACAATACACACATACAAATATAAACAGAGTCAATCTTTTAAAATATACAGCTTCCTCTTTTCACATAGTGAAGATTCCACAGGATGTATCTTTAGGTAGCCGCAAACCCTGCCGGTAAGTGAAAAGTTTTTGCACCCCAATAAACCTCTCCGCCAATGCAATAATCCAAATCAGACCAAATCAAACCAAATTAGAAAAAGCCCAGGTTTAATGGATACCAACGCCCTTGAAAGGCCTTCCAGACCCCCCAGAGAGGAAATGGAGAAAGAAGACCAGAAAACCATGTGTTTGTTCTCTGGGAGTAGTTTAAATACCCTGTGAGAGTAGCCTTGACCCTCCCTGGGGAGGGATCACTGTTTGGAGGGCTTTTTCAGAGATGGAGTCTGAACTGAAGCAACTACCAGGGGTGGGGACTTGGGATGGGACTTCCACCCAAACATCCCAGGCTCTTTGAATATATGAATGCCAGGAGCTGGTGTGAAGCCTTAACCCAAACATTCCAGACTTTTTGGGTATAGGGCTGCTGGCTCAAGTCTGGCTACTTTCTGCATGCATGGGGCAATGTGGGAGAGGAGAGAGTTGGGAGTTGGTGGGCTCATGTTCAGCGGGAGGTGTGGCTGAAGAGGCATCCAGTTAACTGCCATCCTGGAGACCTCAGGCACCTGTTCCTTGAGGGAGATGAGAAGCCAGGTGGCTAGGAGAAAAAATAGATTGCTATTATCAGCCCTACGAATGGGGCGAGTCATGGGAAGAGTCATTGACTGCCAGAAAGAACGGGACAGAGAACTGCCCTGGTTGTACAGGAGAGGCACGGGTGAGTAAGTGAGACAAGAGCAGATATGCCTTTTAAAACCAGATTTCAGTTGTTGGGTAGGTGTCCATTTGAGCCAGGAGAGGTGGTGCCAATGGTGAAGTCCTAGGAGCTGGTGTAGTTGCTGGAGTTATCTGGAAGGCCCTCTGTAAGTTGGTCTTGGCCCGGACAGCAAGAGTGACCTGTAAAATATGCTTGAAAATGGGTGGGGTTAAAATAGGCTCTGGAGACTTTTTTTTTTTTTTTTTTTTTTACCAAACTAGCTACAGCAGCAGAACTTTTCCCAGATATCTGCAGGTATCTGTAAGAGAGCGGGAACAGATTTACATCTCAGTGTCATAGCAAAAGGCTATGGTTTTAGGTTAAAAGGCATAAACATTTTGGAAGACAATTAAAGGAATTTGGAAGCTCTGAATCTCTGAAGACACATCTGAAACCTGTTAATTTTGGGCTATGAAGCCTTTGAAAGAGGCACACCTGTTTGTAATTTTACCAGGAAACTTAACAAATGAAGTAATGAGCTATCAGTACCTTAAGTCATCAAACGCCATCAGACAGATCTGAGAGGGATAAATGAGCAGAAGTGAGACAGCTCTTTCAGCTGTGCAGGCAATCCCAAGTCTCTCTGTGGTCTTTGGTGAACACTAGTTTTAGGAGCAGTACTTGCCTTCAGCTGCTGAGTCTAGGAGGCTTGAAGATTTTCCTGTGGGGTAGGGTTCAGTCTACCTGTTTTGGTAGGATGAGACAATCTATCCCCTGGTGTAGTGTCCAGGAAGTTGATAAGGTGGAAGGCAGCTTTTTGCTGTGTGGGTGGCTTTGCCAACCCAAAGGCAAGCCTCCAGGTGGAAGATCTTTTGTAAACATGTATCTTCTTGGAGGAGCTAAAGGATGCTGCAGGAGCTGGCATTATCTCCCTGTCATAAGAAGCTCTTTTGTTGAATGCCATACTCTCAGATCTGTAGAGGCATTGAGAATCAGGGTGCCATTATCTGTTAGGTATATTCAAATTAGACATATAAGTTAAATTTAGTCATATAGTTTACCCAGTCGGTTCTGGCTTACCAATGCTAGTAGAAGCACGAAGATCAGAAGGAATATTTTAGTAAGTCAAAGTGTATTGGAGGCGGAATGTCTCATTGGTAGGGCCAACACACAGGGTACTCTTACCAAAGATAGCCCTGAGGTTTTTACTTTGACCTCAACCAAAATGGCAGCTATCCGCATGTTTTTATTTTTCCAGAGCTGTTGTAATCTGGAGTTACAATTTTACAGATTTTAAAACAAGCACACATACACACACAGACATAAAACAAGTATACTGTGCCAACATTATTTACACATATATATTAACTGACAGATGAACAAAACTTTTTTTAGGAACTATGTCAGCTGGCCAACTTAAAATCCTACTGTAGGCTGTAGAAGCCAGGTGAGCACCCAGGTGGTCTCATTAAGGTCCAGATTAGCAGATGCTGTAAGAAAGAACAGAATCATAAGGACAGAACACCTATGCAGTTTAGAGTGAAAGGAGAGGGGGAACGGTTTGTAGACAAACAGCAAACAGAGAAGCGGGAAAGGGTAGTGGGGAGGGGGAGCAGGAGCACAGCATCCAGAAACCACGGGCATACGGGAGGTTTATTTGCTTGTTTATACGCTGGTAAAAAAAATTTAGGCATCAAGGCCGTATGGTGTCAGATAGCCCCAATCTAAAAGATTTTGTAAAAGACAGCCTAAGGGCATTTGGGGATCAGGCCTCAAATTGTAGGTGTTCCTTTTGTAAGTCCATGCCGGGATTTGGGACTCAAAGCTTAGCGCAATGCATCCACTGTGATAGACTTTGTGTCAAAAAAAAGCCCAAAAAACCCAAACAAATAAACAAAACAACAACAACAACAAAAACAGAGGGGTGTGAGAAATTACTTAATAGGACATCACCTGGAACAGAGTCACTGAACTGGTTAACCTAGACTTTTGGTTCTTCTCTCCCTGTTAGATTTTTTGGGGGGGGGGGGGGGTGGGAGCTCTACTCTTTCTGGTTAGAGGGGTCTGAATTTATCCTGGTCTTTCAAGACCTTCTCTTACCTGATTTGATTCCCTTGGGAATGAAACCCAACGAGACCCACTTCAGTGATTTCGACAATAGCAAGAACTCAGAAAACACAACAACAGCGCCAGCACCAGCAGTAAACAACTCAGCAACAAAGGAACCTGCTGCTGTCTGGAGAAAGGGTCCTGCAGCTCAGACCATCATGGAGGATCTCCGTGGCCTATGACCCTTGTTTGACCTTCAGTGTTTGAAGCACCTGTTGCTCCTTGACCCTCACAATAGACTTAGAGAAAATCTGTAGCCAATCGCAGGTAAGTTGGGTCCAGTCGAAAAGCACAAATCACACCCCTTTGCTAGGCCTGTGTAGCCTAGCACTGTGTGAAATCAAGGATTTTCACTGTGTGTGACACAAATCAAGACTGGAAGTAGCAGGCGTGGCTTAATGATGCTGAGATGTACTTCCTCTTGCTGCTGAGAGGGCATCAGGGGAACCAGTAAGTAGGCTTGCTCTGTGTCTGCTCCCCTTCCCCTTTCACCTGTACAGTCTGCCACTCTGCCGGCTCACATGCAGCCAGGGGGCAGTGCCCAGGAGTTCTCTGTTCCAAGGCTTCCCTGGAGCATCAGGTAAAAGTCGTCTTTTGGTGTGTACTTGAGGCTGGTGACTTGCAAATGCTCACAAAGAATGCCTATATGGGACAGCACGTTTAATCAGGATCCCGACACCAGTGCTTCTCAACCTTCCTAACGCTGAGACCCTTTAATACAGATCCTCATGCTGTAGACCTTCAACCGTAAAATTATTTTCGTTGCTACTTCATGACTGCAATTTTGCTACTGTTAAAAATCGTAATGCAATTATCTGTGTTTTCTCATGGTCCTCTGGGGGTTGCGACCTCCAGGTTGAACACCTTTGCCAGCACTGAACCCAGGGAAGAGTCAGCCCCATCAGAGGCAGAGCTGGGGGGAGTGTGGTGCAAAGTGAGAGCCTGAAGAAAGCACCCAGCCTCAACCACATCCTGTGCTCAGCAGGCAGCAGTGAGGCCTGCGGAGGTAACTGTGAAGCTCACATCTTTTGGACACGTTTTCCACAGGAGTGCGCTGAGGAGGTGGGAGCCCAGCAACTGCTTAGTCGGGGCAAGCCTTTCAGACCTTTCCTGGAGGGAGGGCTCTGCCAGTGTAAATAGTGGACACTCAGGGGGAAGCTCCCTAGCTAAACAGGGCTCGTGTGGTTGTGAGAGTGAGCTTCTGAGCCTGAAACTGCACATTCTGCTGCATCTCCCGAGTGACCTAAAACAGTGGCTAAAAGAGGCTGACCTTGACAAAAATCAAACAGTTTTAAGGAAAAGGATTCTTTGTTTTTAAAAGGTGATTGAATTTAAATTTGTTTGCATATATCCATTATATTATGTTTTATTATGATTTTTGTTTGTTTTTTGAGACAAGGTTTCTCTGTGTAGCTTTGGAGCCTGTCCTGGCACTAGCTCTTGTAGACTAGACTGATCTAGAACTCACAGAGATCCACCTGCCTCTGCCTCCCTAATGCTTGGATTAAAGGCGTGTGCCACCACCGCCCGGCTCATTATGATATTTTTATACATGTATATCATGTAGCTTGGGAAAGGGCACTTTAAAATGAAAGCTACAGGGTCTAGAGAGATGGCTCAGCGGGGGATTCTGTAATGCTCCTGCAGAGGACCACAGCCAACCCGCAGTTCACAGTGACTGTAACTCCAGCTCCAGTGGATCTGACCTCTTTGGGAAGCTGAAGTCAGGTACATATTCTCTCCTCTCTCTCTCTCTCTACCACACACACACGTACCATACTTTATAAAAAAAAATAAATCTTAAAAAAAGAAAGCTACATCAATTTACTGTAGTTAAAGGTCCATTTATTTCAAAGACTTTTTTTTTTAATTAAAGTTTCAGTGGCCATGTCTTATAAATGTCCATTGTTCCTCACCAGAGAATTGGAAAAGGACCCTTCCCTGAATGTGGCCAAGCCCAGGGTTTTGGTATCCCTGTTGTTCATGGGGACCAGCTGGAATGCCTTAGCAATTACAAGTTCCACCCAAGACCAGACCTCTATGTTGGGAATAGATGTCTGTACTGAAGACAGCTATTGGAGGCCTCACCTATACTGTAGAACTTGAGGACCACTGGGCGAGGTAGGCTACTCAGACTGCAAGCCACACAACGAATAACTTGATTCTTGGCACCTATAAAATAGAAAATAAAAATTAAAAATTAAATTCTCAAGCTTTTTGTCTTTTTCTCCACCCACCTCCGTGTTTATTAAAAATCCAAGTTCTCCAGTAGTCAATGGCCTGCTGTTGTTCACGCTACCCAGAATGCACACTGGCAGTTCCCCTCTCTCCTTCCATCCCCTCCCCAGATAGCCACCTAAATTCCCTCCCCTTACACAGGACCCTCTTTCTCTCCACCCTCCTCTCCTCCAGCATTTTCAAGGGCACCTCCTCCCAGAGGCCTTCCGGTTCCTCCTCACTCTGTCACCTGTCTAAATCATCCTTCCTCTACTTTTTGTTTGCTTCATCCTGTCAGCCAGTTCTTCCCCAACAGACAAAACACTGCTGAGCTTTCTTAGAGCCAAAAATCTACCCTTATCGTCAGTTTTTTCTTCTCATTATAACCAAGAACCCTGAAGAGTAATTAGCATGAATGGTTGACTTCTCTCACCCCCCACTCACCCTGCTTCAGTGCGTTGTTACCTGACGATGTCAGGGATGGCCACATTCTCCAAGGACCTGCCCAGACCCTGGAGCCACCTCTTCACCCGTGCTGCTCCTGGTTTTCAGGCTTCCTGCCACGCTCACAGCCCTAGAGCCACCTCTTCACCCGCGCCGCTCCTGGTTTTCAGGCTTCCTACCATGCTCACAGCCCTAGAGCCACCTCTTCACCCGCGCCGCTCCTGGTTTTCAGGCTTCCTACCATGCTCACAACCCTAGAGCCACCTTTTCACCCGCGCTGCTCCTGGTTTTCAGGCTTCCTGCCACGCTCACAGCGGTCTTCTTCATTCAGCATAGAAAATATGAATGTTTTCTGTATTGCATTCACAAGTGTTTTCTCGGTGCTTTATTTGTTGCAATTTCTTGCCATACAGAAATTTGATATCTTGTGTTTATTCCTTTTTCTGATATGCCTTCCAAGAAAACAAAGGAGGAACTAGATTTTCCTCCCCTTGCTGTGTATGGTGTGGACTATCTGAGATTAAGAAGCCTTTATACTATCTGAGAGGGCCAGTTCCTGCCCTTTTCCCTGTCCCCTTAGGCGTGACAGACACACTGCCTTCCAAGTTTCATGTGATCGCATCCGGCACTGTTTTCTTCTAGCACGTCTGTGATTCCATTCCTATCGCTTCAGTCTTTACTATATCTGAAGCTAATTTTGATATCACATAGGAGCTTATGTTCTGTCTTATATAAGGCTCCAAATGGTTAGCCAGCTAACCCACTCCAAGCAGACATACTATGACATCAGATATAAAATTATGCATTATTGTCATTTCACTCTGCCTCCTCTAGATTTAAAAACAGCAACAAAAGACAGGTATGAGCCAAAGAAAGGAAAGGATTCAGCTGACTCTACGACATGGAAATGCAGGTGTTTAAAGCAAACCACTTCTTGTTCCCTTTCAGCTTTTCATTTTCCCAGTGTGGTTAGAAAGAGGTGTGTCTGCCTTCGCTTGGTAGGTAATATACAAGAATTAGGAGGGATGACCTCAGTGATAATTTGACATTAGGTAGCGGGAACTGCCTTAGAAGTCAGCTTCTTCCCCTCTCATGGATAAAGATAGAATATGCACTAAATTTACTTCTAAATGAAATTACAAATATATAGCTTTCTTTAATACCAATAAATATTTTTATTCAATAGACATTTCACTGGCAAGTAAGTCAAAGTATGTCACAGCCTCAACAATGAGTCCAATGCATTGGTATGGAGCATAACATTGTTGATGGTGGCTCAGCGTATAAGACAATTCCTGTTGCTTTTATCAACACAAGAATTATTGACTGATGTGGTGGTGCACACCTTTAATCCTACACGTGGGAGGCAGAGGCAGACAGATCTCTGGGAGTTTGGGAAGCCTGGATGAGTTTGCCTACTGTGTGGATGGTATGTAGGTTTGGCTTCCTTTGATGTAGACCCTGAGTGTATTGTTTCTTTGGGAGGTGATGGGAACACCAGTCTTGGAAAGGGAAGTGGCAGGGAGGGTATAGAGACCGCCCATGACAGAGTGTTGCAAAGGAGGCACTGTGGGCAGCTGGAGTACAAAGGGGAACCAGCACACAGTGTGGAGTGTGCTGGAAGCCATACAGGAGCAAGACACCAGCTTCCATGCGTCATCCCTACAGGGATTCACCTGGGGCCATAGCTCATCACATGACTGACCTATGGCCAGGTAAACAAAGTCAGAGAAGCATTCTGTTCCAGTCCCAGAAAGGCCAATGCTGGCACCTGAAAGTCATGTGACATGCCCTGGAGGGGATGGGAGGGGGGATGACCTGACAGTGTGACTGCTGGTAAGGTTTCTCCGTAACTGGAGTCCAGCAGCAGCACTACATGCCACACAGGGAGCAACTTACTTCCTCCTCGGTTTCCTGAAGAGCAAGTCGGGGAAAGAGATTGCTAAAAGTCAGACAGGAAACTTCTTTATGACATTGTTGACTTCCAGACATTTTGTCTTTACTTAACATTTTGGTGTTTGAATACAAGGTCTTGTGTGTCCCAGTCTAGGCTTGTGTTTGATATAAAATCAAGGATGATCCTGAACCTCTGTTCCTGCCTCCATCTCCTCAGAGCCATGATTACAGGCGTGCCTGGTTTCTGTTGTGCTGGGGACTCAACTCGAGGATTCAGGCATGCTAGGCAAGCACTCTACCGAGTGTGCTACTCCCCAGCCCTTGGTTAACCTTTGAATTTTTCCTGAAAGAACTGCTATGAGAATTTTAGTCACAGTAAACACAAACTTCCACAGAGGAGGAGACAGTTTATCTGAGGCCTAGGGCTGCTGGGAGAGAGGACAGTACAATATCCAAATCCTCTTGCAAGTGTCTTGCTCCACTTAGAAAAATGGTCTGACCTTGACAGTGGAATGGAGCTCTCAGAACAGGACACATTCCGCCAGCCTAGCTTAGTCTGTGGCTCTGGGCCATCCCCAGAGACCCCAGTAAAACTTCACTTTACAACATCAGCAGTAGAATTGTTCCTCAGAGCCAAACATTCATCTCGGCCATGTATTCCAGGGGGGTGACCTGGATCACGGTGGAACACCACGGGCTTGCTCAGAGGGCTGCTCTTGGTTTGACCAACCAGGCATCTCGGGAAGGGAGGCATATTCAAGGGCTAAAGCCATTTCAGAATGCACCTTACTGCAGACAGATACATCTTTCTGAGGTCAGTTCTCGGCAATAACTCGCTGAAACCATCAGCAGGAGTAAAAACTACCAGAGAATTAGTGGCAATGACGGAAAGGGTTTACAATAAGAGGGAGATGGAGGAACAGAAGGAAGAAAGAAGGGAGAGGGAGAGGTTAAGGAGAGAGAAAAACAAAACAGAAAGCAGGAAAGGAACTTGACCCAGATCCTGGAACAGCATCAAGCACAACATAGATAAGTCTTGAAAGAAATCCTGATGGTGACAGGCGCCAGACAACCCAGACCATCTCAAGACGCTGAAAGGTGCCTGAGACCCAAACCCAAGGTAGGCAGGAACCAATGTGCCTATTGTGAGGAAGAAGGGTGTTGGGTTAAGAACTGTCCTAAAAACGGGGCTGCCCAGCCTGAGTGCTTCCAGCAGCCTGGGTAGAAGACAGCAACTAGGGAAGATGGGGCTCAGAACCCTGAGCCTAGGGTAACCCTAAAGGTGGAGGGGAAACCTATTGATTTCATGGAAGATACAGGAGCAGAAAACTCAGTCTTATTAAAACCGGGGGGTGGGGGGACCCATGTCCACAAATTTACCTGGGTCCAAAGGGCCATAGGAACCAAATCTTACTCATGGACTGCTTGAAGAACAGTGGACTTGGGAATGGGATGGGTAACCCATTCATTCCTAGTAATACCTGAATGCCCCTACCCTCTGCTAGGCCAAGACCTCTTATCCAAAATAAAAGCCCAAATTAATTTCTCTGAGAAAGTAGCGAAAGTGGGTCCATCAGAATGGAGAGCCAGTCAGGATCTTGGTCACCAGTGACTTGGCTGAGGAATACAGACTCTACCAGAAACCAACAACACCGGAGCCTGATATGGAGAACTTGTCCCAGCGGTTTCTTCTGGCTTAGGCAGAGACAGGAGGCATGGGCCTGCCCTTCACAGGGCCTGGGTCTATCTTGAGATCAAAACAGGAGCGGATCTGTTAAGGTCCACCAGTATCCCATGCCACTGGAAGCAAAGAGAGGCATCGCCCCCCACATACAGAGGCTATTGAAGCTTAGGGTCCTGAAACCTATCCAGTGTGCCTGGAACACATCCCTGTTGCCAGCTAAAAAGCCTCATACTAATGACTACTGCCCAGTGCAGGACTTGAAGGGAAGTCAACAAAAGAGTAATGGACATACACCCCGCTGTACCTAACCCTTATACACTGTTGAATACCCTGCCTCCCGACCGGCAAGGGTACACTGTACTGAATCTCAAAGATGCATTCTTCAGCCTGCCATTAGCCCCTATGAGCAAGACCTAATTCACTTTCGAATGGCAGGACCCAGGGATTGGAATCAGCGGGCAGCTGACTTGGACCCGCCTGCCTCAAGGCTTCAAAATCTCTCCCACCACCTTTGATGAGGCACTACATGAAGATCTGGGGGAATATCGACTATATAGATATGAATAATTTGCATTGGTATGGATTTTAAGGTCAATTTTGTTATATGTATATGTATTTCTGATATTAAGGTATTGTGATTGTGTAGTTCATTTAAAATGTAATGTATAATTAGGAAATAAAGGTTGTTAATGTATAATCATCAATAATAATCAAGCTTGTAGTCATGTTAGTTAGATTTTTCTAGATATATAGAGATATATTTTAGTTAAATAGGTATTCTTCATATTTTTCAAAGACTACAAAATATGGCATTTATTGTTTTAATAACTTAGGATTTTTCATAACAATGAAACATGTCTGCTCCTGGCAGCACCAGCTACTTCAAGAGGAAGATAGGCGTCAAAGAGGCTCCTTATGGAGTTTGTTCGCCATTTGGGCAAGAAACTGCTCTTGCCTGAACTGTTGCATAACTGGACACAAAGAACCCACAGAGAGAGGACTGCTGAACTTGCCTAAAGGTGAGATGATCCTTCAGGGTTCCTGGTTCATGAAAGAGTCTGCGACACATTCTGCAGGATACAGAAGAAAGTGACTGAACTGTCTTTAAAATTTCCTGCTTCATGGAAAAGTCTGCTGGATACTATGGATACTTCAGCCTAAAGGCTGAAGATGGATGCCCCAACAGTACAAAAGAACTTTAGGTGACTATCCAGACAGCGAGATCTCTCTGTCATTTCTAGAGTTTGGAAGTTGCTTTTAATGCACTTCCTGTTTATTTAGGTAATATTATATCCTTCTGGAATCTTTGATGGAGTTAAAAAATGGATAGATAGTTATAGTTTTCCTTTGTTATGATAAAGGATAAAATAGATATAAATAATGTAACTACAATTCTTGCTTTATAACTGTTTTTGCTATATGTAATTTGACTATGTTAAAGTTAAAGCCTTTCTTTTTTTTTGTTTAAACAGAAAAAGGGAAAATGGTGTAGGAGAGTCATCTGTCTATGTGTTACTTTCATTGGTTGAATAAAGAAAATGCCTTGGCCTTTTGATAGGTCAAAACTTAGATAGGTGGAGTAGATAGAACAGAATGCTAGGGAGAAGGCAATGAGGCAGAAGCCATGGCTCTCCTCTCCAAAACAGACGCTGGTTAGACTCATGCCAGTAAACCACAGTCAAGTGACAATACAGATTATTAAAAATGTGTTAAACTAATATGTGAGAGTTAGCCAAGAAGAGGCTAGAACTAATGGGCCAGGCAGTGTTTAAATAAATACAGTTTCAGTGTAATTATTTCAGGTATAAGCTAACCAGGCAGCTGGGCGCCTGGAATGCAGCCCGCCGCTTGCCATTTACAACACCAAAACCCAGAGGCGAGTCTATTATAATATGTGGATGACCTATGGTTTGCTGCGGAGGATCAAGAACGTTGCATGAGAGGGACTGAGCATCTGTTGCACCCCCTTGGAGAACTAGGACACCAAGCATCGGCAAAGAAGGCTCAGATCTGTCAGCGACAGGTAACCCATTTGGGATACGTTCTTAAGGAAGGGCAGAGTTGGTTGTCTGAGGCTCATAAATAGACTGTGCTAAAGATCCCAAACCCCAAGTTGGTCAAACAAGTTAGAGAATTTCTGAGGATGGCGGGATTCTGCCGCCTATGGATCCCTGGGTTTGCTGAGGTTGCCAAACCCTTATGTGAGGCCGCGACAGGAGGTCAGGACTTAGCTGGATGGAGGAGAGATGAAGGGCGGGTGATTGAAGCTCTAAAATGCAAGCTCCTGGAAGCCCCGGCCTTGGGCTGCGGGATATGAGTAAACCCTTTCTCCTGTTTGTAGACGAGAACAGGGGGATAGCAAAGGGAGTGTTCCCCCAAACTATGGGGCCTTGGAGGCGACCAGTAGCCTATTTGTCAAAAACGCTGGACCCAGTAGCAGCTGGGTAGCCCCCATGCCTCCATGTCATAGCTGCAGTGGCTCTATTGGTAAAAGATGCAGACAAACTGATACTGGGACAAAATTTGACTATTGCAACCTCCCCATGCATTGGAAGGAGTGATGAAGCAGCCCCCAGATGGGTGGCTGAGCAATGCCCAAATGACCCACTACGAGGCACTACTGCTTAACCCCACCTGAATAACCTTCATGTTCCAGCTGCCTTAAACCCAGCCAGATACTGCCGGATCTGGACTTAGAGGCCCTGCTACTCGATTGTTCTGGGATACTGGCTCAGGCCCACAGCATCAGACCAGACCTGAAGGACATTCCTACCCCAGACACGGCAGTCACCTGGTTCACAGATGGCAGCAGCTATGTGCAGAGTGCATGAAGATAAACAGGGGCCACAGTGATAACAACAGAGGCAATATGGGCTGAACCCCTACCACAGGGACCTCGACACAAAAGTTGGAGTTTAATAACCCTTACAAAGACCTTCCTGGGGAAAAGCACAAATCTAAGCATCTACACAGACAGCAGGTATGCCTTTGCCACAGCCCACATCCACAGATGTCTACCAGGAGAGGGGGTTGCTAACAGCAGGAGGAAAAACTTTTAAAAAACAAACAGGAGATCCTGGATCCCCTACAAGCATTCTGGAGCTGGCAATAATACACTGTTCTGGACATCAAAAAGACTCCGGAAGAATACAACTGGGAAACAACCTGGCTCATAAAACAGCAAAAGAGGTGACTTCAGCCCCCAGGGCTAGGGCAACTTTAACAGACTCAGGAGCCAGGAACCTGTCACAAATCCCCAAGTCCACACTGAAGATCTAGCCTGGACACACACTCTCCCCCACGGTCCAGCGAATAGAGGAATGGTGGAAAACTGCCAATGGGCGAGTCATCCCTCCCCAAAGGCTGGGATACGAGATACTTAAAAAAAATACACCGCTTCTCAGACCTGGGGACATGTAGAATGTGGGACCTGTCGCAAAGGGCTCAGATCAAAATTCAAGATGGTAGCCAGACTGTTGAACAGATAGTGACACAATGCCAGGCCTGCGAGCTGACAAACGTGGTGAGCAACCCCTCCAACCCAGGGGCCCATCAGCAGGGAGCTTGACCAGGTACGTACTGGGAAGTAGACTTTACTGAAAACAAACCTGGAAACTTTGGATACAAGTATCTCTTAGTGTTTATAAATACTTTTTTTTGGGGATGGATTGAAACGTTTCCCAACAAGCACAAAACAGCCAAGGTGATGTCAAAGAAGCTGATTGAAGAAATCATGCCTAGGTATGGGTTTCCAGTCATGACAGGGTCAGACAATGGCCCTGCCTGCATCCCTAAGTTAAGTCAGGGACTAGCCGCTGTACCGCTGCACTGGGGGCAGATTGGAAACTTCATCGTGCATATAGACCCCAGAGCTCCCGGCAGGTAGAAAGGATGAATAGGACCCTAAAAGAGACCTTGACTAAATTGGCCTTGGAGCCTGGCATTGACTGGGCAGCTCTCCCTCCCTTCGCCCTTCTTAGAGTCAGAAATGCCCCTATCAAATAGGTCTGACTCCTTTTGAAATTATGTATGGGCATCCCCCACCATGACTCTTAGCTTACAAACTGACCTGCTTGCTGACTTAGATGATCAGGACCTGTTCAATGCCATTCAGCGACTCTAATTAGTTCATAAAACCGTATGGCCTAAGCTTAGGGTGATTTCTGAAGCCACCTCTGTTCCACCCCTCACAGATTCAGGCCAGGGGACTGGGTTTTTATCCAGAGGCATCACCAAAAATTGCTGGAGCCGAGGTGGAAGAGGCCCTATATGGTTGTCCTGACAACACCAACCACCCTCAAGGTAGATGGCATCGTCTCTTGGGTTCATTGGTCACACACCCACCTGTCAGATTCCTTCGCCCTACAAGAGAACTATTGCAGTGAGATCTGGGAGGCATCCAAACACCCACCAACCCCTAAAGGTCCGGCTCAAGCATCGTTCCTGATCCTGCTGATGCTGATGCTGGTTCCCTCTGCTCCTGCTAAATGACTCAGCCCCACATACCCTCCGAACTGACTTGGGTTCTCGAGGATGGAGAGTCACATGAAACTCTTTACCTGACTCCCCGTGTGGCCCCATTGAACACCTGGTGACCTGACCTATATTTCTGCTTTTGTGACCTGAACCATGTCTATAGAGCAACAGGCCAGGTGAAGGCCAGGAGGTATGGTTTTTACGTGTGCCCAGGTCACACGAGGACTAGGAAGCAGTGTGGAGGCCTGGAATCCTCTTTCTACAAAAGTTGGGACTGTGTCACCTCTAATAATGGGGAATGGTGATGGTCTGTAAGTAGACCAGACTTAGTCACTTTTTAAATATATAAGACCAATCTGGTATGGTCTCCTTATTTCTCAGCCTGAGTTTCACCAAACCCTGCAGGGCCGGTGACCTAGACCAAATAAAAATTACTTTCACTGATTAGGGAAAACGGGACACAATGGCCATCAGGCCTATGCTGGAGTATAATACACTATAGATATGGGGGACATGCCCTGACCACCTCTGTAATTTGGCTTAAGATAGAGCCGATAAAAACAGCAATAATAGGCCCCAATAAGGCACTGGACCCAAATCTTACTCCCTGACTCACAAAGAGACTGGTGCCCCAACAACTAGTTGTAACCACTTTCACCTAAAACACCAGCCCCAGATGCTTTAGCTATTACAACAAGCCTTCAGTGCCAAAACATCATCCTCTCCTGGAGCTTCTGACTAAGATTTATACGGTTCTAAACTCCTTGTGGCCAACCCTAACCAACTCTTGTTGGCTCTGTTATGACGCAGCTCCCCCTTATTATGAGGGAATTGCTGTCCAGGGCCTTATTCGGGAAGCAGCTAAGTGTGATGAAGTCGCTGGCATTCCCCACATTCTCTAACCCTCAAACAAGTAACAGCACAGGGGCTTTGCATAGGTAAAGTTTCCACTGCCAAAGCTTTTCTTTGCAGTTCAATTTATCACCTCACAACCGCTGCAGAGCACCTAATCTCCCACAATGATACCTGGTGGGCGTTCTCCTCGGGGTTAACTCCTTGTGCACACACTACAGTTCTAAAGGATGCCAACGGATATTGTGTCCTCATCAGACTGGTACCCGGCTCCTTTACCATGACTACCAAGGTTTCCTAGATAGGATGGGGAAGGATGCAGGTCTAACTAGAATAAAAAGGGAGCCCATAAGCATCCTCATACTCAGCATCCTCCTAGGGGTGAGCCTTACAGGGTTGGGGACAGGAACTGTCTCTCTCTGTCCCAAAGTGAACTTTGCTTTGAGAGAAGCCATAGATGCCGACATAGAACGCCCAGAGACCTCAGTCTCCCACTTGCAGGGCTCCCTCTCTCACTGGCTGAAAGTGTTTTATAAAACAGAAGGGGACTGGACCTAATCCTTTGACAACAGGGAGGATCGTGTGCAGCCCTGAGAGAAGAATGCTGTTTCTGTATAGTCAGACATTCAGGACTTGTAAGGGATACCATGGCCAAGGTGCAGGAGGGACTTACAAAAATAAAGAGAGAAAGGAAAACTAACCAAGGATGGTTTGAATCCTGGTTTGATAGTTCCCCCTGGTTGAGTGTTCTCATCTCCACTCTGATGGGACCCCTGGTAATCTTGCTGATACTGCTGATTTTGTACTATGTATACTCAATAGGCTTGTCCAATTTAGGAAGGAAAGATTGGGGACCATCCAACTTATGGTTTAGCACTCTCAGAACCATAGAACCCTCAGGACAGAAGATACCTATGAACTAACTGTAAGAGACCCAGGAGTGGGTCGATCAACAAGAAAAGGGGAAATGAAGGGACAAAACCAACTCCATTTAGTGGTAGGCCCCAAGATAGATATCCGCAAAGCAGGAAGTCCTAGGCTGGAGCCAATCAGAGGGTCACCTATATCCCTTATGCCCATAACTGAGGATTTGTGTTTTTTTGCCCCTGCTTAAGAATGGTGGGGCACCTCCTCTGATCCGGCTGCGTTGGTGTGCGAGACAAGATCCCTACCATGGTTTGTACTGCATGATTAAACCTTGCTTTTGCATTTCGGTGAGTCTGTCTCTGCTGGTCTTTTAAAGACATGAAAACAGCACAGTTCTAAAGTCACAGGGAAAATGTACCCCTGTATACTCATGACTCCGTAAGCAAAGACATGGCCTTAAAAGGACTGGTGGATGATAGCTAAGTGCAAACAGACTTCCAAGTTAGTGGGATTACAGGTCATTTAAAAAAATTAAAGTAAGTGTGTGTGTGTGTGTGTGTGTGTGTGTGTGTAGCATGAGTTTGTGCATGTGGGTGCAGCGTTCATGGAGACCAGCAGGAAATGTTAGACAAACCTTGGAACTGGAGCAGTTACAGGCTGCAGTGAGCTATCTAGCATGGGTGCTGGGAACCAAACCTGGGTCTTCAAGAGCAGTACTCTCAACTTCTAAGTCATCTCTCTGGCCCCATGTGTGATTTTTAAAAATGCTTTTATCCATAGTTCTAAGTTTTCCATAATGTATACATATACCACTTACATCCCTGGAAAGGCTGTAGTTTTAAAATCTGCTTCATTCGTGTGCTGGCCTGAAGTCTAACAGTCTTTTCAGGGTGACTCTACCTTACCTGAATCAGCTGTCAACTTGACATAACCCAGAGTGATTTTGGCATTGCCTAGATCAGACTGACCTGTGACCATATCCATGGGACATTGTCTTAATTGCTAATTGATGTAGGAGGACCCAGCCCACTGTAGGCGGTGCTATCCCCTAGGCAGGGGGACCTGGCTTGGATAAGGTTGCTGAGCAACCCAGAGGGAGCAAGCCACTAGCAGCCTTCCTCTGCTTCATCCCTGTCCGGATGACCCTCATTGAGGGGCTGCAGTGTGGAAGTATAAGCCAAACAAACCCTTTCCTCCCCAGCTTGGTTTCAATCAGTGCTTTATCACGGCAATGGAAAGGAAACCAGGACAGAGAATTTGGGAACTGGAAGAAGTTGTGGCTGATGGGGCAGAAGATGGGTTTTGATGTTTCCCAGCCTAACACTGGGCGTGGAAGTGGGAGCAGTGGAGAAAGGCTCTGAGCCAACATTCTCTGTGGGTGTGACCACTTCCTGCCCAGAAGGGAAGGGTGTTGTACTCTGTACTGTGCTGGTTTCTTCTGAAATGGGGCCACATAGAGCATGGCAAAACTTAATCACCTTATATACTGAGGAGTGAGGTCAACAAGTACCCTGAGAATTGCTGAAGGAGCAGCCTTACAAAGGCATGTGGTTGCACTCTAAGTATTTGATATTTTTGCTTCCAAAGGTCATCTGTTTCCAAGCCCCACACGGAACTGTATTCATCAGGTTTGAATTACCACAAAATAAATAAGGTAACTTCATAAAGAAAGGTTAATTTCCCTCACAGTCTGGGAGTTCCAGGGCATGGTGCCTGCCTCAGCTCAATTTTGGTAACGTCATGGATGATAGCACATTGTAGTGAGAGGCTATGTCAGGGAAAGCAGGCAGCCACACCTTGAGGCAGAAAGCAGACAGGGAATGTGTAGAGTCCCAGAATTTCTTCCTAAGCCTATCTCCTGATGGCCTAAGGATCTCTCAACCTCGCTTCCTGAAAGTTCACAGCAACGCCCAGTGCCTGACCTGGAGGACCAAACATATGAGCCTTTGGTTGACATGATATCTAGACCATAGCAGTGACCAGCGGTGGCCTTGTGCTGACATGGTCAAGGTGTGACCTGATGTCTGTTTTGTGCTTTGTTGTTGGCAGACAGCTCCCATGAAGGCTCCACTGAAGAGGCAGAAACATCCATTTCAGGGAACATACAGTTCTAACTGGAGAATGGCCACACTGAGTTTCCCATGGCTGAATTCACCCGGGACTCTCTTCTAAGTATTGGCGGCTGGGATTTATTCGGCCAACTCAGATGGGTGACTGTTGTCCATGTTGCTATCACAGAATGAAGGAGAGATCACTGAGATTAGTCGACACAGAGCAGTCAGGGTTGGGGAGATGGTTCAGGGAGCAAGAGCACGTATTGCTTTTCCAGAGGACATGGGCTCGATTCCCAGCGTCCACATGGCAGCTCATAGCCGTCTGCAGTATAACTTCAGTTCCAGGGGATCCAAAACATTTCCTTCTGGCCTCAGCAGGCACACTGTATGTACATGGTGCACAGACATACATACAGGAAAAAACACAGATCTACATAAAAGGAAATATTTAAAAAGAAGTCTGTGTAACAGTGAGAACCGAGGACAGATGTCATACATGTGAAGACCTGCTGATGGCTGGAAGCATGAAGGAACTTCCAGCACATGCCAAGACCACTGCTGAGGATTTCTTCATCTGAAAATTCATGTACTTTGAAGCATCTGCCTTGCAATCAAGCAATTCAGCCCGAGAGCCAACAGGGCACCCCTAAAGATGGAGAGCAGGCAGGACACCCCTAAAGATCACCACTGGGCTCCTGGTAAGCACCTGCTGCAGTGAGGAACCGGCTGCCTCTGCAGAACACTCCAGAGTGTCCAGCTGAGGTTGGTGGAAAGCATACTCAGAGGGCTGTGGTGCAAAGAACACAAAGGAACAAGTGAGTCGCTGCCAGAAGCGGAGAGCATGTAGCTCTAAGGATGCCGTTATAGGAGCGTCATCCTCAAGTTTCCTTATTATAGCCAATGTGGTGGTTTGAAAGAAGATGCCCCCCAAAGGAAGTGGCACTATTAGGAGGTATGGTCTTGTTGGAGTGGGTATGATCTTATTGGAGGAAGTGTGTCACTGTGGGGGCAGGCTTTGAGATGTTTTTCTCAAGCTTCACTCAGTGTGACAATTCAGTTGACTTCTTGTTGCCTGCAAGCTGTAGGACTCTCAGATACCCCAGCACCACATCTTCCTGCATGACGCCATGCTCCCTGTCATGATGATAATTGATTGAACCTCTGAAACTGTAAGTGAGCCCCTCAATAAAATGTTTTCCTTATACGAGTTGCTGTGGTCATGGTGTCTCTTCACAGCAATAGAAACCCTAATTAAGACAGTCGATGTTTCTTTTTTTTCCTAACAATGAATAGAAGATTCATAAATATTTCATAGTCTTTCTTAGTACAAGAGGGTAATAATGCTGGTCTGTTGTATCATGCATTATTTCTCCTTCTTGTTGGCCCTGTTGTCATCAAGTGGGCTAGATGGCTTGGTGGATAGACATGAAGATCTGAGTTCAGATCCCCAGCACCTGTCTACAGCTAGGTGCATGTCTGTAACCCTAGCACTGTGGGGGAGATGGGAGCATCACGGGGAGGTTTGCTGAGCATTCAAGCCCTGTCAAAATGTTGAGCTCTGGGTTCAGTGAAGAACCTCCACATCCACGCACAAAGATACACAATGCTTCAACTGTAGCACATTCATCTTAGCACCTCTACTAGATGGTTTGTGTTCTCAATAATTAATAAACGTAATTTAGACTTGGTCAGTGGAAGATTGGGGAAGACAAGGATTGGGAAGTCAGTGAGTTTCATTGATCAGTGGTTTCAGTAGTTCAGTGTGTTAGCTCCTGTGTTATGAATGTTCTGTCTCTTCATTGAAGTACGTGCCTCTGAAGGGTTGGACTGATTTACTAAACTTCACTCTAGTTCACATGCTGAGCACACAGATAACCTCATAACATGTGCTCAATAATTTTCTGTACAAAATCGTGTTGCAGACTACACTGTGAGCAGGTGCCGGAGTTAATATTATTAGCAGTGATCATCAGCCCTTGGTTTTCCTTGCTTGTAAAACATAATTTGAAGATTGCATTGCGTTTATTTAATCCCATGAACTGTATCGATTTAACATATTTTAAAGTTTTGTATTCATAAAGTGCTCTAAACAAGATTTTCTTCTCACCAATTGGGAAAAAGTATTCTCTAAAATGCATTTAATTCTTAGTGGAAAAAATATTAACAAAAGCATTGTGTGCATTTTAACAATTTGTTCATTTTCTTCAAGAAATGGGATTTTTATATAAAATACATGTGTAGCAATGAATAGCAAAATGCTGCATCTGTATGCTTGGAATTAAAAATGAGATTGGTTTTTGAATGTGTGCTGATGGTGTCCTGATTTTGAATGGGGAAGGGAGATACGTTGGGTTCTCCGTGCTTTCAAAGGTGCATTCTCTTGCTGTGCAGGGTTAGTAGTCAGGGCAACCATTCAGGCTGACGGATCCCTGAACTTTTGTGGCTTCAGTGATGGGGACAGGGATGTGGTTGACTTGAATATTCTTCAGACAGCCAAAAAATGAGTTCCACACAGGTAGCATAAGCATTTTCAATTTGTCTGAAAGAGCAAAGGGAGAGACACTCAATGGAGACCTCCTACCGTGACATGAACACGCCTGGGTGTTAAGAATATTATTAGAAAGAGTCAAAGAGACGCCAAGGCTCCACCCACCTGGCTGCTCCCTGACTGACTCCACCCTCCTGGCACTCCCTGACTCCCTTCCTGTGGTACACACCACAAAGCTGTCTTTTGCCTTTAGGGAAGGAACTTCACAGCCTGAATCAATAGATAATAACTCTTAACCGCTCCCTTTCATGGGTTATAAAAGGACTATAAAATTAACAAGCAGACTACCTGAAGGGTCATAAAACAAGAAAGAATGCAAAGGCCCCTTCTGGCAATGTTTTGGTCTTTGAAATGATCCCATCTCAACCTGCCCCATTCTCCCTTTGGCCTCCACAGTCAGCTCATTGCCTGGGGAAGAAAGACCATTATTATTATTATTTTTTGTCAACTTTCTTGATTATTTGTTGACATAGGCTTCTGAGCTAATAGAGCCTCTTAATGGAGGACTGTAAATTACAGGCTTGGGACCAGGGGAAGCAGTAGTCATGTGACCTGCACTACCCTGAGATGTGCCCAGACCCTGCTCTTCCCTTTAATGCATGTATTGGGGCGCCTTAGTTGTTGGGTTAAGAAGAAAATGTCAAAAGTTGCTGGGGTGTAACAGGTGTCGAGTTACTGACCTGGGACACCTCCGATGTGCAGTGCCCCTTGGGTGCTGTTAGGTGTGAAGGAAAGCTGTCCAGCTGTGTAGCTGCTATCTGTGTCCAGTTTCAGGTGCAGGACGTGCTGTTTAATGGACACTGGAAGAGAAGAAGCTGGTTAGGTCTGTCACCTGAGGAGGGGCCTCCCACTGTCTAACGTCCCCACCCTGGTGTCACCATTGTCTTTGAACTCGCTCCTACTGGATCCTGGACCTGTTTGAGGGCACTTGGCCAGCCTTGGGTAGAGTGGTATATTATTTATGTTTTAATAAATAAAGCTTGCCTGAAGATCAAAGTGCAAAGCAGCCACACTAGTCAGCCATACAGGCCACACTTTTAATCCCAGCACTAAAGAGGAATATAAAATGGGAGAAGACAGTCATAATCTGAGGATTCCTGGAGGCAGGGTCACCCATTTTGGTCTGAGGTAGAGGTAAAAGCCAGTGGCTGGCTGCTTTGCTTTTCTGATCTTCAGCTTGAACCCCAATATCTGTCTCTGGGCTTTTATTATTTATACTACACTTGGGTAGAAATTCAACACATCATTCAATAGCAGCCAGGGTTTGGTGTTCTATAGACATCGCTAAATTGAAGCCCTAAACTGAATCTGTGGGGTTGAAGAGCTAGCGAAGTTGGTAAAGTGCCCGGCTTGCAAGCACAAGGGCCCTGCTCAGCCTCCACCTAGAAACAAAATGGGCTGAGTGTAGTTCTGCTTTTGCAATCCCAGTGTCAGAGAGGCAGAGCCAGGCAGATCCTGGGGCTTGCTCACCAGCCAGCTGAGACTACCTAGCAAACTCCAGGCCAATAAGGCCTAGTCTCAAAGACCAAAGTGGTTAGTGCCTGAGGAATGAAAGCCACTTTTGGCATCTGGCCTCCACAGGCATGTGTATGCATGTTACCTGCACACACAAGAACACAAATGTACGCACACACATCATTACGCTACTCACCAAGACGCTCACTGAGGGCTGAGCAGGGATGAAACCCAAGCTCTGGTCATCTCTTGTCTCCAGAAACCATACATGATATGGCCTCAGGTACTGTCTCAGAAGCCAGGGTTATTCTATACAAATGTTGACCCTCAACACATAAGTTCTCCTATCTTGATAATTGTATCTAACTGAAAGACAGCTTTCAATTTAGCCAAGAAAGGACTACTTTTTACAAAAAGGTGTTTTAGTCAGTCCAGGCTCAGATATTTCTATTCTTGATCTCAGCCCAAAGGGCAAGAAGAGATAAAAATTTGTTTATTATTTACTTACATATTTATGGAGTCTCATACTGGCCTCAAACTTACTACACATCTCAGGATGACCTTGAACTCTGACCTCTAACCCTCCTCCTTTCCAATGCTGTGTCACAGGTGTTCACTGCCATGGCTTATGGGGATGAACCCAGGGCTTTATGCATGCGATGCAAGCATTCTACCAGTGCCAGGCACATACACCACTACGATAATACCCACAAGTTATTACTAAAATAACAGGTTCTGAGAGGATGTGTTCACTTTCCACCATTGTTTAGTTCAAATACTTTGGATTAATATTGAATAATTAATATTGAAAGATAACAATGACCCTTAAAAATCCAACAGCAAAACTAGATGCTCCCTGCATGTTCACTACAGATCAGGGGCAAAGATGCTCACTGCATGCTCAGTACAGATCACGGGCAAAAATGCTCCCTGCATGCTCACTACAGATCAGGTGTGAAGATGCTCCCTGCATGCTCACTACAGATCAGGTGCAAAGATGCTCCCTGCATGCTCACTACAGATCAGGTGTGAAGATGCTCTCTGCATGCTCACTACAGATCAGGTGCAGGCCATGACTTTATACACACTTCTTCATTTACCCTCACAAGCCTGATGCTCACTGACTGCTCCCTATAGGTCAGTGTAAACCGTGCACTTTATACACACTCCTTCATTACCTTCACAAGCCTACACCATTTTATCTTCATTTTACAAATGAGAAAACAGTATTAAGGAGTGTATAGCTAACTTGTCCATAGTAAGGGATGGAATTTAAAGCTAGTTTCTCTTTTTTAAATTTGTGTG